ATGTTATCAACAGTGGAATACCCTTTGTCAAGAACTTTTAGACCAGCAACAAGAATTTGGAATCTTGAAAACATAGTTTCTATTGATTCACTATCTTCCATCTTGAATGCCTCATACTTCTGAATGAGCGCAAGGACTTTGGTTTCTTTGACTTGAATGTTGCCTTCATGCGTCATTCTCAGAGAATCAAACATATTCTTGGCAGTTTCTCTGTTTGATATTTTCTCATATTCTGAATATGAGATGGCGCTGAGAAGAATTGTTCTGGCATTGTGATGATTTCTGAACTCACACTTTTGCTGATCAGACATCATTTTCCTGTCAATCTTCTGACCACGTCCATCCACTGGGTGCGTGTATCCATCAGTCATTATGTCCCACAGATCAGCATCATGGGCCAGAAAGAAACTCTCAATTCTGTCTTTCCAGTAGTCAAAGTTCTCTCCATCAAAGACTGGAGGTTTGCCACTGAATCTGTCCCTTTCTTCATTGTTGTCATTGCTGATGTTTTGACTTGGTCCTGCCATTGTGTTTTTCTGACGCTGGATCTTATACTGACACGGTTAAGTGTTTAAGCTCAGAACCAGGAGCTCTGATGCCAATTGAAGATGTGAAAAACACAAGAAGGGGGATTAAATTGAAAAACTTGGATCAAAGACAGCTTAATGACACAGTATTTTTATCCTGGTTCGTTTGATCTCAAACTACTCCAGTCCACCCGTCAAGGTGATTTCGCCTCTCTCCAACGAGGTCTTAATCCACTAATCTCAAAAGATTACAACAGCTACTTTAACAACTGTTGAAGTCTTCTTGAGTACAACCACAAACCAGTTAATCTCAAAGAAATCTTTTACAAATAATTGAACAAGAATGTGTTGTTGTTTTCTAACAAAACAGTTTATCACAACTGTGATAATTACACAAATTAAGCTTAGAATAGAATAAATTTGCTAGAGCTTGAATATGCGTGGTTTGGAATTCTCTGCAAATTGATGTGTGCGTACGTACGTGCTTCTTTTGCAAGCAGACTTGTTTATATAGACAAGCAAGAGACGTTGTCCATAAAGCAAGTTTAATGTTAATAACACACTTTCCTTTTGTAGAAGATCTTGTCTGAAGAAAGCCGTTGGCATTTAATTCTGTCTTGAATAATCAGTAACGCTTCTGAGTCTTCTTTGCTTTAACTGCTGATGACGCTTCAAAGTGTTGATGACTTGGTTGATATGTCTTTGTTCAGAGTCAAAGTTTACTTGTTTAAGCGCAGATTCTGGTCATCAAACTTCAGCGTAAAAACTGTTTTGCTTCAGCGTGTAATACTTTAGCTTATCTTCTGATGCTGAACCCATCATAACTTCTGCATACATAAAACATATTTTAAAGGTGCATATTTGTTCTTTGTATATATTCTTTGTATTTATTTATTCTTTGTATTTGTTATCATCAAAACTCCAATCAAGGGTTGTAGAATCAAACTATGTTCTAACAACTTCATGAAATAATATCTTTCAAAACATCATTAAGTCTCACCTTTCATGATTTATGATTTTAAAATATCTCAAACAACATAAACAACTTATAAATCATTCAATCTAAGAAACAAAGTTTCACTTCAAACATTCCAAACTCCGATGTTACATATCAGAGCAACACTTTCTAAATCAACGTAAATAAACAACGCACTCCGAAGCTATCCTCTAAGTTTCTACGAACTACTCATGATCACCTGCGTGTTACCCACGTGAAGACAATATTCAAATTGAAAGAGTGAGTAATCACATTCATTACAAAAGATATACAAAATAGACATAATAGTTCGAACAAAATTATCATACAATCTATATACCACATATCACCATGTTTCACATACTATACTCACATTTTCATGTCATCATAACACATCATCATCATATCATCAAATCAACAATCATCACCAAGGCATCATTAATTCACACATCATCAAAATATCACTTAATCGATCATTATGCAATGTCACTTATAATGCAAAGCAGCATCATTGATTCATGTATGTGGTACCAAAACTTTATTGATGACCAAGTCATCTTTCTCTAAAGATTCTCACCATACGACTGATTCCTGCTTGGAACCGAAACACTTCACAAAAATACACTTAATCCACACCATGGGATTGAGACTTTCACTGGACTAATATCCTAACAATCATCTTTGGACCAACGTCCTAACATCATTGGGCCAACGCCCTTACATATGTCATGAATGCATGATGTGCAACAACATAATAGACACAACCACTGCTAGTCAAAACACATCATCATCCATGAATTCATCATAATATCATCACATACATCATAATACACATAGCATCATCACAACAACATCAATCCATCATACAAACATACATCATGTTACATCAATCGCATAATCACATCGATTCATCATAGTATCATCACAGTTCATCATTCAAAGGTCTAGTTTAATCATATCAAGATATTGGAAATATACATCCTTTTACTTATTTTATTCCGTCTAATTATAGTTCACCGCGTTAGCTATCCAACGCTTTGAACGACGCGTCAAATAGAATCTGAAAACTCAAGTTATGGCATTTACAAAACTTTTGCAACATGGTATTTTCATCAATTTCATCATAATACTCATCACATTCAACTTATCATCAAATTCATTATAAAACCCAACAAATCCCTACATACATCTAAACTCGATATCAATTCTAATGAAAGATCACCTCCTTACCTTAGATTCCTAGCGATTTACCTTTCTCTTTGCGTTCTACAGTGATCTCCTTTCTTTCTCCATGCCCTAGTTTTATTCATAGCATTCTCCTCTCTTTCATGATTGCACAGAATGAACACTGACACTCGCTTTTCCTTGTTTAACCCTTGGACCATTTCTATAGTCTTCCCATCTTACCCTCACTAATTCTCATAACATTACCATCTTGCCCTTAACACATCTACGCCATTTATTCTATTTATTTTATTAATAAAAACAATTCTAACTAATTAAAACTAATTATCTAAAATTAATAAAACACCCAATATCACTTAATTTCCACTATACCACACATAGCATCACATCACACATCATATTCACCAAAACATCACATATACTCATAAATACTCATCATAAATCAATTAAATAATTAAATAAATAATATAATTATTTTTGGGGTGTTACAAGAAGGAGTGAATTTTAATGATGTATTCTCTCATTGTGAAACACAAATTCATTAGAATTCTCCTTGCTATGGTGGCTAGGTTCGACCTAGAACTCGAGCAGATGGGTGACAAGATTGCTTTTTATATGGTGATCTAGACGAAACAATTTTGATGAAGCAACCCAAAGGGTATGGAGAAAAAGGTAAGGAGAATTATGTGTGCAAGTTGAACAGGTCACTATATGGCCTGAAACAATCTCCTAAACAATGGAACAGGAGATTCGACAAGTTCATGACACGCATAGGTTTTACAAAGAGAAACTTTGATCATTGTGTTTATTTCAGGTTCTCACCTGAAAAATCACTTGTCATCTTATTGCTTTATGTGGATGACATCCTCATAGTAAGCAACCTCGTCAAAGAAGTAATGAGGGTTAAGATTTAACTTAATCAGGAATTCGAAATGAAGGACCTTGGAGCTGCAACCAAGATTTTAGGTATAAACATCAAGAGAGATAGAAAGCAATTAAAATTATGCTTATCTCAAGAGTCGTGTCTAACTATGATTCTTGATAGGTTTGGTATGTCGAACTCAAAACTTGTTATCACGCTAACAATTTTGAAACTCAAGCTGGTATAACTCAAAGTCTTATTACTGAAGTCGAAAGAGCTTATATGAATAGCATAACATATGCTAACACAGTAGGTTCTTTGATGTATGTTATGGTTTGTACCATGCCAGACATAGCGTATAAAGTGAGTCTTGTAAGCAAGTACATGCCTTGAAAAGACGCACTTGAAAACCTTAAAATGGATCCTAAGATACATAAAAGGATCTCTGAGCAGGGTCCTGATTTATGGTGGAGTCAAAGGTGATGATAACAAATTTAAAGTTGAAGGATTTGTTGAATCTGACTATGCAGGATGTATGGATACTAGAAAATCTCTTTCTAGATACGTGTTCACCATGTTTGGTATAAAATCGATTGGGAAACGTCACTTCAGAAGGTTGTAGCCCTATCAACCACTGAAGCTGAATACATTATCGTCACTAAAGCTATAAAAGAAGCATTGTGGCTTGAAGGATTTGCTAAGGAATTAAAACTTCAAAGTCAAGCAATTAGTGTTAAATGTGACAGTCAAAGTAATACATTTGTCGAAGAATTCAACATATCATATGAGAACCAAACACATCGATGTTAGGTTGCAATTTGATGTTGCAATAGATATGTATGTCATATAGTTACCATCATACATTAGATACCCATGCTAGTAGTCTATGGATAGGCTAATCTCTCACTTTATTAGAAGAGAGGTGATAGTTATTCACTTGTAATCACTTAACCTCGATACAAAAACCTGAGTAGAATAACTATAATAATCAACTTTGTTTCTCTCTCTTTTCTCTTGAATTGAACGGTTTCCTGGTTGATTAAAAAACTGTCACAGTTTTACTTCATTCATGGTACCTATTTGTCAACAATAGATATTTTATGAATGAAGTTGAGTTTGAGAAGATGTCTATCAAGAGAAAAAAAAAAAAGCTTGAGAAGATGCCAATGTAAGATCAATTTTTAAGATACATCCTCGAGCGCTTGCGTTATAAGCTACAAATAAATAGTATATCCAAACAGACTCTAAGAAGCCTCAATTCAAATCTTTCACAACTACTTTAGGAAAAGGATAATTGAATATTTTATTATAATAGCTTCAAGTTAAAGGCACATACATGCCTAAATATACATACTTCAAGTACCGCAACATGGATGAATCCTTATTGTTTTATTCATTGTTCATCGTAGCAGGTTATATAAATCTTAATTGAAGAACAGGTACAATGCAATCAAGAGACAGACAAAGGATCCTTCAATGAAACTCCATTAGATTCAGAAGGATTACGGATCTTTACGCCAGTTGAGACAAACTGTGGCTTCTCAGAGACAGCATCTTCAACTTGTGATTCTTCTGGAGGAATTGATCTTCCACCCCAACGTACAAGATCTTTAATGATGGTTTGGAGATCATTATCTTTATTTAATGACTCCAGAGTCACATGCGTACCTGAAACAAGTTCAAAACAGTTATATCATAGTTCTCCATGAAAATTTTCAATGGTCATAGATTATATTGTCTTCAAAAGAGTTAGCTTTAAGATCATTGGAAAAAACTCAAATATTCGACTCCTAACAAAGACAAAGCACAATACTTACGGTATCTCCAATAGTGCTTCGGATTTGTAGGGTCATTGATTGTCTCTTCTGTTGCAGGGCGTGCTGTATATTCTTCTTTTAATGCTAACAAGTCCTGCCCACCAGATTAAAAGTGACATGATTTTCATGTGAAGGGGGTTATGGACAAATTAGTGAGATCTGTGGTACGAAATTAAACAGAACTTAGAAATCATGGTTTTCTATTATGTCGGTCAAAATACCTGAAGAGGGAAAATTGCCCACATCGATGGGGATTCAATATGTTGCCTTATGATATAATGAGCAACTTCTGGAACGCATTGATCAGGTGGCAACTCATCAGACTCCATCACATTCTTGAAAAATCGTTGCCTTCTTTCTTCGTCTTCTTCCCACCAAGCACGCAAGGTGGAACAGTCATGACAAGAAGGAGCACATACCTGCAAGTTGTTGCTAAATCAAATGACAATTTTATAAAATCCATTTAAACACAGAAACTGACATTAATTCTCGACTAAGCTGGACCCGGATTTATCAGATTACAATAAAGAAACCCTAAATATCTGATTGACTGCCATCTGAACCACATAACTACAAACACCAAACAAAACCCGTAACTTTTCATTATTTGAAGCACAAAACTAGAAAAAACATTTGAATGTGGCATAGATATAGCCCAATTCGAGTTATGGTTTCTGACAGCTTAATACAAAGATTTGCTCAGAGTATTTGTCATCCCTTGGATTTTTTTTTTTAATATGGAACTGTGAAGCCTCAATAAAGAGTAAAAACTATAAATATTCTCCCTTAGTTCGACCATAGGCGGTCCAAACTAAAATAAGAATAAGCATGGTACATAGAAACTTTACCGTCATGTAGCTGTATTTAGAAGGAATGCCAAATTCCAGATCAGATTCATTGGGCATCCGTTGGATGCGCAGCCCAACTAATCCAAGTTCTTGCATAACCTGCACTAACAAATTAATAGTTAAACCTTTCAATGTAAAACCCCCTCCAAAATGAAACAATTCAAATCCTTTTGGTATCTTGAGCATAATTCTTAACATGTGTGTGTGTGTGTGTTTTGCGAGCCGTCCATACGAGTGAGAAAGAGGTTTTTATTTATAAGAACTTAAGGAGTATAACTGACATACAGGATGCACACAAGATGGAATGAGGCCCAAATCTTCCCCGCAGGCCAGCATCTCTGATGAATTTAGAAGTGCAGGTAGAGTCTTAAGCGCATTTTGCCTCCAAAGATTCTCTTGACGTTGGAAATAGTAGTCGTAATACAATCTTTTGAGAACATTCTTGCTGTATTGCATGATAAGCATTAAGATCTTGTAAGATTACATCTCAAGGAAGTCAGAAACCAGAATATGAAATGAAAATAAATTTGTATTAGATGGAGAACAGTTTTTAGTGCCAAAAAATGATGAAAAAGCAGCAAAATAGTTGGAACCATCCTGAATGGTTTATCCACACGCACTAATACTATTTAGGTACCTATGATCATCCAATGCCTGGAAACTCGAGGTATCTTCAAGGTTGAAACGAGGATAAAAATCTTTTGGATTCTCTGGATCTCGGATAAGAACTATATTCTGCAAGACACAATAACAAATAATACATTGTAGAATTTGCAAGATCAAGAGGATGCATATCACAGTTCAAAAGACAAAAGGATTAAACATAGATTAAAAGAAAAGACATATAAAAAATGAAGTGTGCCAATTTGATCTATATTTTACTAATAGTGTAAATATCAATATAGACACATAGTGATTATTAGATATGTAAATATAGAAAGATTATTATTAGTATTGATTACCAATGATTATTAGAATCATAACCACATATTTGTACTGTGTATATAAATTACTATCACATGAATGAAAAGGCACGGCCTAAATTATCTTACATGGTATCAGTCTTGGTTTGTTCCAAACCCTAAAATCAGCCGTAAACCTTCTTCCGTTCTATCCCTCATTCTTTTTCTCTTCAACTACCGCGAAACAGCCATGACTACCACTTCTGATTCCTCTAACAACAACTCTTCCCCGAAATCATCCGGTCATACCGACCCTCCTCCACCACCTACCACTCCTACACCGATTCACCCTGCTCTCACTGTCCCAAATATTACTAATTTCATCAAGATTACTCTGAGCATTGAAAAGGGCGCGTATAACACGTGGTCAGAACTTTTCAAAATTCATGCTCGAGTTTTTCAAGTAATTGACCATATCAATCCCTCTGAACCAGCCGCAGATCCCTCTCTCAAAACTACCGATCCACAGTTATGGCTTCGTCTCGACGCCGTCGTTTTGCAGTGGATATATGGAACAATCTCCGATGATCTTCTCAACACTATCATCGAACATAATTCCACCGCTGAAATCGCGTGGAATCGCTTATTCGACATCTTTTATGATAACAAGAATTCTAGGGCTCTCTACCTAGAGCAAGAATTTTCGCAAACTCATATGGAGCAATTCTCTGATGCTTCCTCCTACTGTCAGCATCTCAAATCTCTCTCTGATCAACTCGCTAATGTTGGTTCCCCTGTATCGAATGAACGTTTAGTTCTTCAACTCATTTCGGGACTAACCGATGCATATGCTACTGTGGGATCTCAAATTCGTCATGCTGATTCACTTCCTCAGTTCTATAAAGCTCGTTCCATGATCATTTTGGAAGAAACAACACTGCAGAAAAAGGTGTCAAGCTCAGTCGAAAATTCATCTTTCATGGCGTCTCAATGACGCATCAGTTAATTCATCGGCATCCCGTCCTAACCGCGGTAACAACAGTAACCACAACCGTGGTGGCCGAAACAATGGCAGAGGACAGTGTGGACGAGGCCGAGGGCGAAACAATGGACGTGGCGGAGGTCGTGCTCCGCAACAGCAATGGCCTTCACCATATTACCCGCATCAGCAGTGGGCTTATCCGCCATACCCAAATCAATATCAACAATGGAGCTCCCCGCCATGGCAACCATGGGCTACACCACCTTGTCCGTATCCAACAGCAAGAAATCCAAAGGAACAACCCGGCATCCTTGGTCCCAAGCCATCTCATCAAGCTTATGTCGCCAACACAGCGCCAACCTCCTCATATGCTCCAAATCAAGCTTATGTCGCCAACACAGCGCCAACCTCCTCATATGCTCCAACAGATATTCAAGCTGCCATGCATACTCTCTCACTTTCTACTCCTGATGATCAGTGGTACATGGACACCGGAGCAACCTCGCATATGACGGCCAACGGAGGTAATCTCTCGTCCTATTTCAATATGAGTAATAATATTACTGTCGGTAGTAGTCAAAATATTCCTGTAATTGGTTGTGGACATGCATCATTACCAAATTCCCTTCATTTACTAAAATTACCTAATGTTTTACATGCACCAAAACTCATAAAAAATCTTATCTCTGTTCGTAAATTTACCATAGATAATGATGTGTCGGTTCAATTTGATCCTTTTGGTTTTTCTGTGAAGGATTTTCAGACAGAAATACTGTTAATGAGATGTAACAGTTCTGGTGACCTCTATCCCATTGCCACAAGACCACCTAATAAAACCTTACCACCATCCACCTTTGCCGCAATATCCACAGAATTATGGCACAACCGTTTAGGACATCCAGGAGCTACTATCTTAAGTTCTCTACACAGAGACAACTTTCTCCAATGTAATAAGTCTCGGAACAATTACTTTTGTAATTCATGCCCTCTTGGAAAACAAATAAAATTTCCCTTTTATAGCTCTGTGTCTCGTACTTTTATGCCTTTTGATATTGTGCACAGCGACCTCTGGACTTCACCAATTCTTAGTTCAGAAGGTCATCGTTACTATGTGTTATTTCTTGACGATTACACAAATTTTTTATGGACTTTTCCAATTCATACAAAATCTCAGGTTCATTCCATTTTTCTTCAATTTAGAACTCACATTGAAACACAATTTGAAAGAAAAATTAAATGTTTCCAATGTGACAATGGTAAAGAATATGATAACACTATGTTTCATAATTTTTGTAAAAAAAATGGAATGTCTTTTAGATTTTCGTGTTCTCACACCTCCTCACAAAATGGAAAAGCCGAAAGAAAAATTCGTACCATAAACAACATCATCCGTACCCTTCTCGCCCATGCCTCTTTACCTCCATCAATGTGGCATCATGCACTACACATGGCCACTTACCTACATAATATCCTTCCAAATAAAAAGCTTTCCCTTCAATCACCCACTAAAATACTCTACCAAAAAGATCCGGCCTATACTCACCTTCGTGTCTTTGGATGTCTTTGCTATCCTCTCATCCCTTCATCATATAGAAATAAGTTACAAGCTCGGTCTACACCTTGTGTCTTCTTAGGATATCCCTCAAATCATAGAGAATATAAATGCTATGATTTATCTAGCCGTAAAATATTTATTTCCCGGCATGTCATTTTTGATGAAACTAAGCTTCTGTTTTCTAATCCAAATGTTCCTACAACGGTTGGTTATAACTTTTTGGATGACGACACACCCTTCCTTCCATCCTATTCCTATAGTGCTCCCTCCTCTAACCATCAAAATCGCACTTCACCCCTAACTACACCAGTTCAAACAAACATTTACCAACCATCACCATCTTCTTTGAATTCGCCTTCGTCACCCTCCCACAATCCCACCTCACCAACCATAACATCAGCCCCATCCACAACATCACCTCTAAACCCATCATTACCAAATATTGTCTCATCCCCATCCACTACATCACTTCCGACTCCTCCACCTTCACAACAAAATCAGCCCCTCTCCCCTCAAATGACAACCAGAGCCCAACACGGTATCGTCAAACCTCGCAAACTCTTCAATCTCCATACATCAACCTCAACCTCCATATCCCCTCTACCTACAAATCCCATTGATGCATTAAATGATCAAAATTGGAAAATGGCCATGAAAGACGAATATGATGCTCTTATTGAAAATAAGACGTGGGACTTAGTTCCTCGTCCGTCTAATGCTAATGTTATTCGAAGTTTGTGGATTTTCAGGCATAAAAAGAAATCTGACGGATCTTTTGAGAGATACAAAGCTCGCCTTGTAGGTAATGGTGCAAATCAACAAACAGGTATTGATTGTGGTGACACATTCAGCCCGGTGGTCAAACCGGCTACCATTCGAACGGTTCTAAGTGTTGCTTTATCTAAATCATGGTGTCTTCATCAATTAGATGTTAAAAATGCTTTCTTGCATGGGAACCTTCATGAAACCGTATACATGCATCAACCTCCTGGATTTCGTCATTCTCAATTTCCTGATCATGTCTGTTTATTGAAGAAATCTCTATATGGTCTCAAACAAGCACCTTGCGCCTGGTACCAGCGCTTTACTGATTACGTAGCTACAATGGGCTTCTCTCACAGTATTTCTGACCACTCTCTTTTTATATATCATCATGGCAATGATATAGCTTATATTCTTTTGTATGTGGATGACATTATTCTTACTGCATCATCTGACACTCTTAGAGAATCTATCATGGCACAATTGAGTTCCGAATTCTCCATGAAGGATCTGGAGCCTTTAAGTTATTTTCTGGGTATTTCTGTCACCAAACATCCCGAAGGCCTTTTTCTTTCTCAAAAGAAATATGCAGAAGAAATTATCGAACGAGCTGGTATGTCCTCCTGCAAACCATCCCCCACACCAGTAGACACAAAGGCGAAACTCAGTGGTTCATCCGGTAACCCTTACCATGATCCAACCGAATATCGTAGCCTTGCCGGAGCATTGCAATACTTAACATTCACTCGACCAGACATCTCATATGCAGTTCAGCAGGTATGTTTATTTATGCATGATCCAAAAACTCAACACATGTCTGCCTTGAAACGCATTATTCGTTACTGTAATACCCCAAATTTGTCCCACCCTTCTACTTTTATCTGGTTTATGCATTGTCGCACTTTTCTCATGTACGTATCTCCATTAGGTCATTTAGCATTGCATACACTCGCTAACAACATAATTTGGCATGAGATCGGAGATCTTGAAGGATTAGGGTTTTGCAGTGGCTAAGGCGTTCATATCCGGTAAAAGTCGATTCCTTTTGTAGAGGCATTAAGGTTGTGATTTGTGGTTATTGAGATTTCCTTCTCCTTAAGCTACGAAGCTATTATCTCCATGTTAACAGCAAGAAAAAAAATCGACTAAATGAGTTTTTGATCGGGGTTATTTGTTAAAGGTCCCAAACGTGAGGAAATTTGCTGAGTTGTTGGGAAAAATCGAAAGAATCGGCCGAATTTGAAGTTTCTCGCATTTTTAGTGATATGGGCTCTTAATAATTTTTAGAAGATTTTTCAAAATATGGTAAACTTCATGGATATTTTTTGAGGTCCCGTTTAGACTCAAATGCAAAATCTCCGAACATGAAAGTTGAAGATCAGATTCTCCTCTCCAGTTTTGATTCAAGAATCGTACTATTCGGAGGTTCGTAGAGAAAGTTATGATGTTTACGTTTTGAAGGCTTGAAAGGTAAAATGCTGCCAAGACTTGCCTTGCCTGACCAACGTTTCATCGAGCAGGTGGCAGGCACATGTTTAGGACGTTTTTATCATGGATTTACGTCTCGTTTCGAAATATGTCGAACATGAAAGTTGGAGTGTGTCACACACTCTTCATTTTTGGTTCAAACTTCGTCTTGTTTTGTGCACCGTGGAAAGAAATATCGAAGCGCAAAGTAGGAGGATTGAAGAGGACGAGAGGTAGGTGCCACGCATGGAATTTGTAATGCCAAGCCTGGCATTTTGTCGAACAGTTGCAAAACATATACTTATGGCATTTTTCTTCACGATTAAGGCCGTGTCCGGATTGGAAGCAAACTGTGAACTTGTTCTATCATTTGTCCTCTTTCCAACGATATCAAGTTTATGGCATTTGGGTCGTTATCGGGAAAGTTACGAGCTTTTGAAATCATGATGATCAAATTGATTTCTACATGATGAGTTTCAGCCATGGCGAACAGTTTTGGTACCACGGCTTCGCGATCATTTTTTTATGTTTCGAGAGTTATTTCGAGAAATTTTCCAACATGAATGTTGTTTGGGGAAATTCACTCTTCAACTTTTATGTTGAGACTTTATCGTGAAGAACACTGTACCTCGAGTTATTGAATCATGAAAACGAGGTTGGAGCATTGATGGGCAATCGTCGGTAATGACAGAATTGCCGGTGTTTATTTCAGTTACAGTTTCATAATTTCAGGACCATCTTAGGACGGGCTATGGTTATTATTTCGAGGCGAGGCCAACACGAAGAATGTTCCTGGATACGTCCTCTTTTTAATGATACCAAGATCGCACCGAAAGGAGTGTTATAGCGCAAGATATACAACAGCAAAGGCGGTCATGTAACCATGCATAATAACCGAAATTTTTTGGATAAAGGCTACTGTATTACAATTCATGTATGCATGGGATGATGTTTGATGGCCATGCAGTAATTCACTATTGCATGCATGGTGAGAGTAAACCATGAAGGAATTTCTCCATTTTCTCATCACGCAACAATCGTAAATACTTTCGCAACGGTTACAAAAGCGGGCTTCGATACAACATTTTTTTCTCTCTTCGAGATAACAAATTTTTTTCCCACTCTCATTGTAACAACCTCTCTCTCCATGCATAACGACCTCACTCTCATTGTAACAACCTCGCAGCTCCTCTCTCTCTTCCATGCAACAAACTTTTCTCTTCTCTCACAGTAACACTCCCACTCTCTTTTTTTTTTCTTCATGACATTAACCACCATAACAGAAATGAACCTTCCTCTCTCTCTCTCTCTCACTTGCATTCTTCAACAAACTTCCTCTCTCTCACTTCTATTCGCCAACAACCTCACTCTCTCTCAACTCCATTCTTCAACAACCATAACATAATCGGTTAGAGGCTGAGAGAAATTTTTTTCCTGAGCGTTCATCCATCATCACCTTCAACTCCCACTTTCATCTTCCATCGTTGTAAAAAATTAGAACCAACTCTTTCTCTCTCTTCTCTACCTCACCTTCTAACCACAATAAACTCTACTCATTCTCTTTCTCAACGCATCTGTGAATCTCCCTCTCGGTTCTATGAGCTCAAAGCCTTATTCAGATGCTCATTTGCTTTTTCTTCTTCTGCTGAGAAAACCTCTCTCCTCACGCCATAATCCATTGAAGTCAGTTCCGTCGCGGTTACGATCCGGTTCTCTATCGAAGATTCAAGCATTGCACTGAGTTTATTTGTCAGGATCTTGAAGATTTCTGGTCTTTATCTCCAACATCAAGATGTAAGGCATGCAACTGTAGAGTTTTCCTTCGTTTTTCCCGATCGGCAAACGGGTGAGTCACTGGGATCCTTAACTTAACATGTTAGGTTCTTCGTGATGTAGAGGCATCCATTGCATCTGTGTGCTCTGTGTGAATAGGGGATGGCGTTAGATGCAAAATTGGTTGTAGCTTCTTGATGTGAAAATTGCTTGACATTTTGAGCTTGTTTCATTTTGAATGATAATGTAAGATTTACAAATTTCTAAAACAAGATTCAGTATCAAGGCGAGAAATGGAGTCTGGTAGTGTAAGGTTGACCCGTTTCTATTGAGGTTTGCTCGTTTCGGCCATCAATCGCCGGAGAAGACGACGGGAAGTCTCATCCCTGGTGGTTGTGTTGCAAAGCCCTAGGTGTGGCGTTTCTTTAATGGCACATGTTATTTATTTTTGGCTGATCAGAATGCATCTTTTTAATTTCTGGAACTATTCATTTTTCAGAAAAAGTTATACTATGGATTATCTTCTGGTTAATAAAAAGGGACAAGTTGTTGCATATTAAAAAAAAACGTGACATATTAAATGAGCAAAGAAAAAGTTGGAAGGTTATTGTTTTTGGAGCAAACAGGCTTATGAGTAGTTTCAAATTTGGGCCTAATAAATTTGTGATTACACTCTCTTATTAATGGATCTGAATGCCCATTTGACTAGAATTAGTGCAAATAGGAGATTTGGTTATACACCTCCTGGCAGATTCTATATAAATTTGACGCTTATCCGTTTTAGTACATAATTTTCGATTTTCCTTTAGTCTATAAAAAATCTAAAAAATAATAAATTCAAATATAAAAATTTGTTAGTTTTTATTTGAGATTTTAGGAATTTAATTCCGATTGACCGATGATATTTGAGATCGGTAATTCACTTTTTCTTGTTGAGATTTGAGTCTTATGCAGGTTTACTGTGCGATACCAAATGCGCTTGAGATTTCGATTGTGATTTATTTTCACATCGACGATGCGTCGACATTTATTCTGAGCATTTGATTTCTGACTCTTTTCTTTGATTGGTGAAGCTTTCGCGAAGATCGTCGAGTTTCTTTGTTTTGATAGGCTTTGCTACGGATTGATATCTGTTTGGTATTCTCTCTTGTTTATCTCATTTCAGCACTTTACCGCTTTTCTAGGTACCATGAGAAGTAGGAAATAAAGAGCGTGCGCTCGAAGTCGCTGTTTAAAGACCTGTAGCAGGCATTCCGCACTTCATTTGCTATATGTGTTGTGCTTGTGTTTGTTTACTTTCTTATCGATCGATGAGTCACTCAATTTAGCAATTGAGATCACGACTTCGCTCTCAGTGCATGCTCCCTATAGGACTTTATCGCTTTCCATTCTTTCTTGTTGATCGATGAGTCACTCAATTTAGCAATTGAGATCACGACTTCGCTCTCAGTGCATGCTCCCTATAGGACTTTATTGCTTTCATTTATTTTTTGTCGATCGATGAGTCACTCAATTTAGAAATTGAGATCACGACTTCGCTCTCATTGCATGCTCCCTATAGGATAGTTTTTTAGACTTTTCTTAGACATGCTAACCTAGGCAGGATCTCTTTAGGTGTTCTTTGCTGGCTTGCTTACTTTATCCCTGTACATACCATGTTCCCTTAGGACGCGCTTGCTCCGTTCGGACGCAAGTTAGACCTTAGGTTGTAAACCATGCATGCTAACAGTAGGTAGAAACTTCCCCTTCATCCTTGACATAGGACTACCATTGTATGATAACATTAGGTTAGAAATAGGCTAGTCTCCCTTAGACTCTTTTCTTTCCCTTTTTGCATCCTTGCATTCAAAACAAAAACTTCTCTTCTTAGCAAATCAAAAACATGCTAATCATACTTAAACCCTTTTTCAAGGTAACAAAAATACAAAACAAATTCAAACTATTTTGTGCGCTCAAGCACCTTCTCTCTAAAAACCCTTTTCAGGTAAGGACATGATTAGTTTACTTCTGTGCCAACGCATAAGTCTCCAAAGGTCGAGCTGCGGCAGAAGGCGGAATTAACATTGTCCATAAAAAACACAAACAAACAAAAACATGTGAGCCGAACTACGGTAGCTCTGATTCCTCAAAAAGGATACGTAGGCATTGGGGTAGGGCCCAGGCGAGCACAATTTTATTTTCCCTACATTCTTTTCTCCTTTCTTTTGCATGCATTTTCCCTCCAGTAGTATAGTAGACAGTAAGCATAGATTAAACACACCCATAAGATAGATAACAAGAGTGGATACCGTAGAGTACTACGGGCGTGTGGGGTGCTAATACCTTCCCCTCGCATAACAGACTCCCTTACCCGATCTCTCGGTCGCAAGACCGTGACTTCTCCCTTCTCAGGTTTTCTCGATGTTTACCTTTCCCTACATGTGGGATAAAAGACGTTCGATGGCGACTTCATTGTTTGATGATTTTCAACCGGTTGTTTCAGTTACATTAATGGTACCGTAGATCTCGGCCTTCATCTGTACCCTTCATCTGTCGACAAGCTCATTTCTTACACAGACGCAGATTGGGCCGGTTGTCCTGACACAAGAAGATCTACCTCCGGCTACTGTGTTTATCTCGGTGACAACTTGATCTCATGGTCCGCAAAACGCCAACATACCTTGTCTCGTTCAAGTGCCGAAGCCGAATATAAAGGCGTAGCTAATGTTGTGTCTGAATCATGTTGGTTACGCAACTTACTCTTGGAACTATGTTGTCCTGTCACAAAAGCTACTCTGGTATATTGTGACAACATCAGCGCGGTTTATCTTTCCGACAATCCTGTTCAACATCAACGCACCAAACATATTGAAATGGATATACATTTCGTGCGTGAGAAAGTTGCTTGCGGTCAAGTACGCGTTCTTCACATTCCCTCGCGTTTTCAGATTGCTGACATCTTCACAAAGGGACTTCCGTTGCAACTCTTTGATGACTTTCGTGATAGTCTCAACATTCGTTCACCTCCAGTTTCGACTACGGGGGTGTATTAGATATGTAAATATAGAAAGATTATTATTAGTATTGATTACCAATGATTATTAGAATCATAACCACATATTTGTACTGTGTATATAAATGACTATCACATGAATGAAAAGGCACGGCCTAAATTATCTTACAGTGATTTTACTAATTGTGTAAATATAAATATAGACACATAGTGGGTGGAAGAGAAGAAGAATATAATCCATGAAACAAATTTGATAAAGCTACCTGTAAAAGATCAAACAGGCTACGCCGGATTTTGTCTTCACTCTCCAACAACAGAGAACTTTCTGCAGAAGTTTTCAGTTTGGAAACAATTTTTTTCTCTGTGTTGCTATCCTCCTTGAACTATAATCATTCATGAAAAATAAAATTACAACAGCATATATATTTAATGGTCACAACAGAATTTACAGTAAACTTATGAAAGAAATGCATGCTCAGATTGGTGCAATCAAATTCTGTACAACAGCATATATATTTAATGGTAACATTTATGAAATAACCAACATAAATGAAATTTCTTTATATTTTCACATCTTACATTATAAAATCCCTGAACCTATCTCAGATTGGTGCCATTAAATACTGAGTTACATTGAGTAGAAATCTTTAATAAATAAAGCAAAAGGATCGATACTGAGAGTACACTCTTGCCTAGTTACAAGTAACCAAACAATCAATACTGTACATCAATAAAACACCAAACATATCCTTCTTACTTAGTTGGGAGAAAAGTACAAAATATGCAATCAAATTCTGCTAGCAACCCCAGCAAAGCCTTATCCATAAGACAATATAGAGGCTATGAGCTATTACGAAGATTAAGTATTCTTTGGATTTCTAAAATCGGATTTGAAGCAATTCATTAAGTTGTATCGTTAGCATATGGAAATATGATTTATGAGAATATACGGAAAAGAATAAATAGTTAGAAGAAAATTGGCATACAAAAGTATGATCACCTCATAGCAATTCTTTTCATATTCGTTCAGAAAAGTTGTTGCAAGGAATGTCCAAGCAGATCCAAATTTTTCCTGAAACAAGAATGAAAAAAATATGGTATAACTAAGCACATCTACAAGACATGAGAAAAATCCAGATGCATCTTTAAGGTAAATTATTAACACATTATAAAAACTCATTCATTGCGTAAAAGGTACACTTCTAACCTGTAATGTTTCCTGTCTAATGTATGGGCGGCTCAGGCGATTAAAGTCCCATATTCCTTCTCTTTCAAGTTCTTCCTACAATAGGTTTAACAAATTATAAATTGACCAAAAAATAGTTTCCTTTGCCAGTTAGAGCAGCTCAGCTCGTATTCACTGAATCAAGTGCCCTTTAGATTTATAGAAGAGCATAATGATACCTGACTTAGAGGAATAGATGGTCGGAATTTTCCGACTAGACCTGTCACAGCATGTTCTGGAAGTTCCCAGATTCGGAAGAATCCCAATATGTGATCAATCCTGTAAGCTGTGAAATATTTTCCCATCTGTCATGGACAAAAGTAAAATTAATCTTCAGCCTCTATACTAAAGTTTTCTTAAGATTATTTTCCAGTTAAAAACAGGAAAACCAAGAACTTGAAACCAAAACCTGTGTCAATCGAGCTCGCCACCAACCATAGTTGTCTTTTGACATCTCTTCCCAATTATAAGTAGGAAAGCCCCAATTCTGGCCATTTTTATCAAAATAGTCAGGAGGTGCCCCAGTAGAAGTGTTCATTCGAAATAAATTTGGATAAACCCAAGTATCCACACTGTTTCTGTCAACTCCGATGGGAAGATCTCCCTTTAGAATCACTCCCTTCTTTCTTGCGTATTCTGAAGCTTCCGACAACTAGCAGAATAAGATGAAAGCAAACAGTAAGATATTGTGTTACATGATTTAACGGCCATGTAGAACTTATAGTAGGGTTCAATATAACTAACTTGTAAATGCAGATGGTATTGAACATAGTAGTGGAAGCGAATTATCTCGTAATGCAGACTTTCCTTGGATACAAGTTTCTCTAACTGTAAAACAATGGGAAATATACAGTCTTAATAAGACATATTTGAAAATTGAAAATAAAACCTAAGGCACATACCTTATCTTCTGAATAATTAGCAAAACTGCCCCATTGACTTCGTTCCGATGTTTCAAAGAAATCCCGCAGGAAACAGAAAGCAGCGTAGGGTTTCAACCAACCCTATTACCATCAAGAACAAAGCTGAGTTGGCATAGCATTTTAAATAAAATGAAAAAAAAAACAATTATGAAAATTCATTATAAAAGAGAGGAAAAGATAAAGCATCTCTTGCCAAGACATTAAGCAGTCGTAATGTACAGTAGTAAAACCTCATTTTCAGAAAAGAACTCCTGAAAGGAACTCGAATTAAGTATCAAATCTTTCTCTTGATTGAAAACTTTCTTCGCAATTGAGAGTTTAGTAGACAATGTAGCTTCATAATCAACATCCTGTAAATAAAATTAACCAACCATGAGGAAATTGTCACCCACCAATATGTTTGCATATACAAATGGTGATGGCAGTAACAATATATTTACAGAAAATTTATCCAACGACAATACAATAACAACATCAACCAAGTCTTTTCCCACTAAGTAGAGTCAGCTACATGGATCATTTGACGCCAAAGTTTAATCATGTACTTACCACAAAACAACTCTTAAATGATTTGGCCCATAGTTTTTCTTGTATCCTCACTCTAATCTACTCTCTATATTGCTTCTACAAATCTTTCTCATACAAGTTCGTATCACCTAATGAAGGATTCTACCATCTCTATCGTAGAGACTCCCCCAATTTTCTGTCTAATAAATGTATTTGTAGTTCTATCATTCATTTCTTATGTAACAACACACCGGAGGACCATTCTCGTGACATCAACACTAACCTTATTTTCTTGTAGGTTTTATACTTCCAAAAGTTTTGTTCCTTACAACATTATGGATCTTATAATAACTATGTGATAAATTTTTCCCTTATATTTTAGAAGTATTTTCTGTAACATATCACACCCAAATAATTCCACATGTTGAGAGTCTCGCATTGGATGAGAAAAGGCCTGAAAAGTGTTCATAAGTAGGAGGCCTCTCTCACCTTGTAATTTTAAGGAAATGTAAATTGAGTACATTAGGCTGAAAATAGTTCACCATCAATCTATTCAAACTTAGTTGCACATCTCCTCTATTAAACAAATTATAATCAAAGGTATTATGGTGTTTGTTTAAAACACCAGCAATGTTGTGACTATCTAAAAAGACGAATTATTTAGACTTTATAACAGAATTTTTTTCAATGATACATATGTATAAATTAGAGAATCTTTCTTGATGATTTCAAGATACATATAAATATTTGATCATTACCTTCGCATCTAGTTGTTGTTTTGCCTTCTCAATCTCTTGCTGTTTAAAGTAAATGCAAAGCATTTCAAATATCGGCATTTTGAAGTAGCTACAAATGTTATTCAATTTATAGTAAAATTCCTAAACATAACCTTGATCTCCTCTGGTATGTTCTCAGAAAGTGCCTGTACTCTCAGGTACAATGGATGCAGTGCAAATACTGAGAGTGAACTGAAAGACAAACATATGAGATAACAAAGTATCTCAAAAACCGTATATGAATTGTTTAAAACAACAATGAAACACACGAAACATTTTTTCCATCAGAAGTGTCATAATACTAATATCAGAGAATAGGTTGATAATGATATGCTGCGTGTTGTTAGTATCTTATCCAAATAAAATTTGACATGGTTTTAAACCAGTTTCATCAGTTTCCAAAAGCTTCAGTTATTGCAGAGTAAAAACCATGTTTTTATTTATGATATACAAAAGGTAATTGCAAGTTTATCTAATGTCTATGATGATTTTGAAGGTGCTGCTATACCTGTATGGATAAGAATCCCACCACATCTGATGAACAGATGTATCATTGATTGGTAAAAGTTGAACTAAATGGAAACCAGATGCTACAGCCCAGTCAACTAGTAACTTAAGGTCAAGAAACTCCCCAACTCCTAGATCAGATTCTGACCTAATAGAGAACATAGGAATTGCTACGCCAGCACCACGCCAGGGAGTTTCCTTGTAAAGCAAACCACCGACATATTAGAACCATCAAGTTCTAGAAAACCACAGTATCCACTACCCATAGTGTAAATTTAGCTACTTACTCGTATCATGCCATCTGAAAGAAAAATATATTTTGCTTCTCTTCTTGAAGAGTTAATTGAGACTTCTCGATTTGGACCGTTTTCTATAGAAGCGTTCCCAGACCTGTCATATTTACAATATCTATATGTGGAAATGACTGCTAAGGAAAAATGTAAAGTTTGACCATGGTATTGGTAGCGACATATGAAAAAAATAACCCCACTCTTTCATCTATAACTCAAAATGAAAAGTTCAAAATGGATATCTTATTGGAAAATCACTCCTTTGCATCACACATTCAGCTAGCCATACAAATTCACCAACATAGCTGAGTTTTAGTCCATTTTCAACTTTCCACTGCCCCAACTTCATGTTGCTACCTATCACGTATATCTGCAAAAGTTTGGGAGAAACCACTAATTCATGGAAAGTGCTTTTAATCACAACTTTTGAAGTATCATTAAATGTTAACAAGCATATAATTTTAATGAATTCTTAATCCAGCAAATAAAAAGAATTAATCATAAATGATATATAGGTAAAAGGCTTTACTGATGTGTCTTTCTCAATAGTTGGGCAGAAAATTTTGAATTGGATGAAGATGGATTCCGCTGGTTATCAGAAGTTAAAACACATGAGCTATCAGCAAAATAATAAACAGGCATCATATTCACTATAAGGGCCCAAAACATGTAATTTGCAAAATTTTACCTTCTGGTTCAAAAGTGATGTGGTTGACTCCCGTGGTTGTGATGGTGCTCGAATCCCAACTTTGCCGAAAAATGACATCTCTGAAAGCACTTCTGAAAGGGAGAGCATCTGAGCCAGTCTGAACTTGACGATAAAACAAGAACAGGTCTTGAGAATATATTTTAAAAGAAAAAAGAAAAATGTCACTTTTATCCAAACTAAACACCTATCAAACTATATCAAAAAATATAATTCATGTCCAACTTCTTGTAATAATATCAACACCGACAACTTTGAGAAGCACCACATGAAGCATTTTGGCAAAACTCTGAGCAAAAAGAACAAGAAAATACATAAATGCAAGAAGCAACTTAAGAGGCCATATCCTTGTATTGTGCAAAAATGTTACAACTGACAATGTCATAGAATATACACATTCCAACAAAAACAACAATGGCAACAACAATCAAGTTTTATCCTACTAAGTGGGGTTGGCTGCATGGATCAAACGACATCATAATGTTCTATCCAACTCATAAATCTCCAATTTTTCTTAATAGTTTCTTTTAAAGTTTTACACGGACTTCATATAACTTTTGTAATTTGACTATCTTTCCTCTAATCTACTCTCTTTGCTACACAAACAGGTCTTCTTTCGACATGTCCAAACCACTTGAGTCAAATTTCCACCATCTTTTCTACGATAGGTGTTATCGCAACTCTCTCTAATGTTGTCATTTATAATTCTATATCATCAAGTCTTACCACGCATCCAATGCAACATCTTCATCTCTTTTACACGTATTTTATCCTCGTGTTGGCTCTTTAACGTCCAACACTCAATCTCGTACAACATTGTCAGTTTTAGTTGTCCGATAAAATTTTCCCTTCAATTTGAGTGGTACTTATATATGACATAAAACACCTAAAGCTCTCCTTCATTTCAACCTCCCAACTTGAATTCAATGATGTACATCTTCTATTTCTCCGTTGTTTCGTACTATGGGCCCAAAAATATTCAGTACAATAACAAAGCATTCATTTCACACCTACAACTACAGTCTTACTTATGTCAGTACCCAGCTCAGCTATTAAATAGTGATTTCGCAAACTATTCTCTCCAAAGAGCTTAGACGAAGTAAGCTCCGGATCAAAAACATGTACATCAAATTTCTTATTCTTTTAGTGCAAAGTGTGACTTTGGCAAAATCACAAGATTGTGGATGAAATACAAGATTTCTAATAAACAAATCTTGCACAAAAGGTCATTACTAAGTTTTTTATTTCAAATATAATTTTTTTTTATTTCACCTTATATAATTTTTTTTATAATATTGATGGCAACAACAACAACCACAACTAAGGCTTATCCCACTAAGTGAGGTTGCCTACATGGATCAAATTCCGCAATAATGCTCTATCTATTGATGACAGAAATATCAATGAATTGAACCCAAGTGGGACAATGTTAGGATAAACGAACAGTTAGACAGTAAAAGTAGGACATATTTCACACAAGCATCGAACATAAACATAAAAAGAACTGCTTGAAACTTGAAAGAGGCATAGAGAAATGTGAAAAGAGAGAAAGGAAGCAACCTGCCAAAGATCACGAAACTCAATCTCCTGACCACTCTGAACACCTTCAGGGATCGCGACTTGGTGTTTCTTCCCCATCTCCCATCTCACAATATTTCTCTTATCATCCACAACAAAATAACTATACTCACATTGGAACCCTTTTGGCACAGTAATACTTCCACTCCAAATGAGCTCAGAACCTTCATGAAAGGGACTGAGCAACACACCCTTCTTCACATTCCAAGATCCAAGCACTGGTACAGAGCCACACACCACCAAACTCTCACCCCATTGAGTAAAATACGGTACACGAAAGCTTATCTTCACAGAATTCACAGACTTATTCCCCGAAACCAATCTCGGCGGATTCACCATAGCTTCAAAAATAAATTTGACTCAAATTCTAAGTTAAAATTTCTATTTTATTTCAAAACAAGAGTGTAATAAATTATCATGATATAGCACTCACAAACAGTATGAAAATGAAGAAATTAAGGTAAAACTCAAATTGAATTACTATTTAATAATGAAAATTTTCCAGTTATGAGATTTTCAGTCACATCTAATCCAACTATCATACAATTTTCTTTTGCTTGTAAAGTAAACAAAACAAAAAAATGGTTTGGACATTAAATCAAACAGTTAATACACATTTGCAATAATTGAAGTAAACTTGAATTCAAAGAAAGAATGCAGAAAGAGAAAATGAGTGAATGAAATTCACCTAGAGAGAGAAAGAGAGAGAGATTGAATCACCTTTACTTGAATTAAAATAGAAACTTTTGAGAAACAAAATGAGTGATAAAGAGGGTTCAGTTTGTGTGATATTTTGAAGGAAAATAAAAAGTAGAGTGCAAAATTGAGAGTGAAAAAGACAAGAATAGAAGAGAGACGTTTCTGGCTATGAACAGAGAAGTGTGAGGTAATATTCAGTTTTTTTATTTTTCCTTTTGAGATTTATTTATTATTAATATATGGGTCCGTCCATGCCCTCAAACTTTTTGTATGTGTTGCTTTCACATTTCCAATGAAGAGTGGTGCTATGAATCCATGATTGCAATGATTGATTTTTTATTTTATTTTAAAAATTACTCCTTTCGTTCTTTTTTAATTATCATAAATTTTATATCTCTTTTTAATGATTCCTTTCAAACTTCAAAATAGTGCTAATAATAATTTTATTAAAGTTACTTTTAATTATTTATTATAGATAAAAAAAATTAAAATAATAAAAAGATAAGAGTATTATAGATAAAAGAAAAATTATTACTTAAAAAATAATAATAATCATTAATTTTATTGGTATATATAAAAAATTAAAAAGTAACAATTAAAAAAGAGCGAAGAAAGTCCATGTAAATATTTTTTTTTTGTCCTTTATATTTTTTCGTTTTTTTTTAGTTTTTTTTTTATAATTTAAGATTTTTGTTGATAATTTACGTCATAGTTTTTAATCTATTTACGTTAATTTAAATGTAAGCTAAAATTGCTGCTAACCATTAAATGTGAGCAATTAAATTGTATATTCTGCAGAATGCACGTGATATGACATGTTAAAAAGTCGTCTATGGAGTAGTCTACTATATGACGTGACATGACATGTTCAGTTCGGGTATTTTCATATTTATGGAACTATCTCCTCTCCCTTATTCACTCTCATTCTCATATTTATACCATATACACCACCTTTATTGAGTGAGATTTTGATACCACGTTGGTCGAGAGTCTCACATATCATGAAACTAGTCTTAATTGCACCATATAACACTATTATTGTCAACTTTTTGAACTTATAAGATACACCAGATACAATTAAAACTGTTATCGCATAATAGCAAGAACCGTAACATGGATCAATGGACATATATTTTCTCACACACATGATCTTCATAAATGAGACAAGTGCAGGACATACTGTATTTTGATGAGATATCTATGATAAGAACATGGTCGACCCAAACATTTTAGTGGCTCAGTTCTCATTTTAAAAATAATATCTCTAATAAATAATAGAAATAAAAAAATTAGAAAATACATTCCTTAATCAAAAATATTAAATATGTACTAGTATTAAATAATTTAACATTTATTCAATAATTAATTCTTCATGTTGCGGTAGAGGAGTAGTGATAATGTAAGAAATTTTAATGCAAGGTCATGTGTTCAATTCTTTAAAATGACATTGTTTTTGTGAATAAAACAATTAAAATCATAAAAATATAATTTGTAGGTTCAAATGTAATTTGCAGGTTCGAACCAATGCCACTTAAATTGCAAAACAAATGCACCGCATTGTGAACAATTTATAATTTTACAAACTTGAATATGTTATAACTAAATTATTTATATTAATTAAAATGATTTTTTTATTGAGGCCCCCGACTATTTGAGGCCCTGTGTGGTGGCTCACCTTGCACACCCACAGGGCCGACCTTGGATAAGAACATAAGAACTAAAACATTCAGATAGAAGAGAAAGATTTTTAGAACATGTTTAGAACTTAAGCACACAAATTTTTATTTTATTTCCTTCTGAACAAATATGATACAAATCATCTTTAATACGGTGGGAGAACTGACTTGGGTGTTTTGTGTTTTATTGCAAGTGTTGCGGATAGCAAGAGTCGACACCGACTTTTTTTTATCCAATAAAGGAAAGAGTGAAAAGAACAGAAAAAACCTTTTAAGAATTTTATTGAGTTCGGAGAGTAGGTTATAAAAATGGAAGGTGTTAGCACCCTTTTTATCTGTAGTTATCTACGAGCTCTTAATTGCTAGCTCACTTTGAAATGCTTTATGTTTTTGTGTAAGTTGGAAAATATTTTGAAAATGATAATTTTGTAATGATTCTCGTATCGTTGAGAATGTATAAAAAATGTTTGTTTTGGAAATATTTTGAAAATGCCTTAGTGCGACAATTTTGCAATGATTCTCGTATTGTTGAGAATGTATACAAAAATATTTGTTTTGAAAATATTTGGAGTGTTTGGAAAGATGTTTGTTTTTGAAAGTGTGATGTGTGAAAATAGTTTTAGTTTGTGAGCAAGCAATTATGAGCAATCTATCTACTCAAAAGTCTATGTTCTTTTCCTTCTTCTTTAGATAGTGCTATCTTACCATTGGTTGGTAGGGAGCCATATCATTAGATATGAGGGACATGCGTGCATCATCGTACAGTCATAGAAGAAAATTTGTACAATGTTTTAGCAATTATAGTAAGAGACTAAGATCGTTTACCGAAGGCAACATCGAAGGGTCATCAAGGAACTATGATCTTTTAATCAAGGGTCTTTTGCTAAAACATCTCACATTCGAGGGACGTGATTGTGTATATCCGAGGCAACAAGTGTGGGTTACCCTAGAGGTGCGTGTGTGCAAGGTGTTTTGTTTTCATGTATTTTATCTTGAATTAGGGTTTTGTTAATATTTGGTTTTAAATATTGTCATGCAAATTCTAATTACTAACAATAATAAAGAAAACGATAAATTACAGAAATTAAATGTCCTACGCTATTACATCGTTTTGGGAATTGGGGGTACAAGTTTGTGAATGAGGGGAAGAAAGCAATAAAGCCTAATTATATATTACAAACCATGTACATAAATAATAATGCGAAATAAAAAAATACACAAAAGAATGTGAAGATGAAGAAAAGAGAAAAGAATTGTTTTGGTGATTTTTTTGATGGAAAAAAGTTTTATAATAGTCAAACTAATTAATTTTAATTACAAGAGAAGTTAATTAATTATTTTAAACAAAAATCTAAAATTTAAATTAATTAAAATAAAACTTAAGTATAATTTAATTGTCTAGAAAATAATTTTTGTTAATGTTAATTTGGAAAGAAAAATGTTTTATAATGTAAAAATGAGTAATAAAATCTAATTTAATTAGCAAAAATGAAATAAAGTGTTTAAATTAAAATATTTCTAATTTATTTATTTAAGAAAATATATTTTTATATTTTTTGGTTAAATAAAAATAAATAAATAAATAAATAATATAGAAAATATAAAGAATATGAAAAATATTGGACTAGGGTGTTAAAAAGTAAAATGGGGGTTAAAAAGAAACAGAAGCGTTGGGCCCAAGGGAGTTTTTTATTGAATTTTTTTATTAATAACCATGTATTAAAATAATATTTCGTAAATAACCGGGTTTCGGAAAAAATTACGCAAATAACCATGTTTCAGATGACTCCCCAAAGGAGGAGCCATCTGAATTGGCGCATGCACCTACACTTTTGCCCTAGGCGCCATCTCACTTGGTGCCTCCCTTGGCTTTTAGCCAAGTGAGATGGCGCATGCTCCTTAAAAGTGAGAGGAGGCGCCATCTCACTTGACTCTTAGGGCAAAACTAGGGCAAAATGTTGTTTTATAAATAATTCGTCTGTTTCTCTGAAATTTCTCACACTTTCTCGCACTGTATTTTTATTTTGTACTCTGTTATTTGCGTCATGACGTCGCCTATGATTTTTAGCAGAGATGGTTATGTTATCTTCTCCGCCACGAAACCTGCGATGAAAATGAAATTCTGGCACATTCACTCTATGGAGCGTCTGAAGCGGGAGTTGATGCGATGGCTAGATGGAGACATTGCGGAGGGGGGGAAAATTCGAAGGATCCAGCGAAAACGAACAACAACCTCACATGCGACATGAAGACCTAATGTGTGGTTGGAGGAAGTCAAAACAGACAGCGATGTAATGTTGATGATGCATGGGTCAGATAAAATTGTGTTAACAGTTGTAATTTCCTAGATGGAATATCGTTAATTATTCTTGTACGCGTTTTATTAATTGTAGCAAAATCTGTTAACGGAAAACCCAAATGTTTACAACACAATTAAGAAAAAATTTTATGTATTAAAATATTTATGTGGTCGAGCCAGACGCCCGATTCGGACAGTTTTTGCGATTGTGTCCGACCTGACGGCATAAACCACATTTTCTTTCCAACCTGTCAAGATCGTCCATTTCTGTTGTGATGCGCTTACTTTTGGGACGACCCTTCTTGTTCCTTCGCATTTGGTCATTGTGCCACACTATTACGCCGTTGTATACAGGCCAATAATCTGGTTTTACTACCAAAGGAAAGTTGTTGTTGTAAATGTTGAGCAACGTTTCAGATTTGTAAATGTTTGACAGAAGTTGCAGCGCGTCTTGATGGGTATGAGCACAAGCGACAATGACATGAGAGCAAGGCATACGAAATGCTTGAAACCTGCCAAAATTGCATCATTGAGAAGGTAGCATGACCCTATATTCTTGTCTTGGCAGGCCTTCATTGTGGTCGATTGTCTCTTTCACAATGAAGTTGTGGCTGTGTCGGTCAAACCGTATAACCATATGAGTGTTGGCTTTATCACTTTCAGCC